CCCCACCCTCTACCCGGCTCACCCGCTTTCACTATTAAAGGCCCTTTCTCTCTGCCAGCTTTAATTTCCTGTGGCTACTGTTGTTGCTATCCATTCTGGCTTGCCTGACTTTATGGCTTCGTTTCATATACCTTCGTTTTTATATCTTCTTTATGGTAAAATGTACATTCCTGTAAACTTTTTCAATGAATTGAACCTAATAAAATTACTTGATTGTGTATGCGTGTGTTTCACTTTCTAGGACTCCTTTGTCTTCTCTTCAACTTTAAGCACAAGTTCCTTTACAAAAGTTTTTAAAAGTGCCCCTGTTGTCTTCCTGAAATGAGTCTGGTGCTCAGAAACCTGCAGCGAGCTATCCCCCTCCGGAGAGTGCCCCTCCGCCGGAGGATGGAGACAGTCAGAAGTATTTTAGGGGTCCAGAAATTCGACCTGGCAATCATCTGTGTTGACAACAAGAGTATTCAGCACATCAACAAGATCTACAGAGAGAAAAATATCCCAACTGATGTGCTTTCTTTTCCATTTCATGAGGTAAAAAGTATTTTCCTCCTCACTTTGTCTAGCCTACCAACCAGTGTAAATTTCCTGTGTTAATTATACTACAGCCATGGTTTTTTAGTTTTATTTTGAGTACCTTTCAATACTCACAAAAGTAGAGATAAACCCTATTGATCAATACCCATTAGAGTAGAAGAAAAGGGGATTGGGCTCCCCTCTCCCCACCTGAGGCCTTCAGTGAATAGTTTTGGATGTGAATCAATAGTGAATATGCATGGTTGGAAATTTTAAATAACACTGAATAAAAGAAAAGACTTGTGTAAATATTTCCTACAAACTTGTGAGAGCTGTCAAGTTACTCTCAGTTATGTAAATGACTGAGCTTCACACATATATTAGTATAAGTTGGAAAGCAGCTTGGCAATGGTACTTCAATCCACTAGTGTCACAGGAAGGAAGACAATAAAGTGTTAAATGTGTAATATAAAAATACATTAAAATGTTCACTTATTTTAGGAAGAAAAAACATTAACAGTGCTAAGTAAATATGCAGCTGTGGGTGACAGGCTTAGTGTGAACAGAACTCAACTGAATGGACTGGTCTTTATAGTCTTTAAGTAAGAAAATGTGGAAGGCTGTTTAGGAGAAAATACCAAGAGGAAAGAACAGAAATATAAAATTGTATCAGTGTGGTGATTTAATTCCTAGAATTGTAATCTGTGATTGCTGCATTGGGAAGGATGAAAGAAATGGAAAGTAACTCATTTGACAAGATGGAAACATCTTAAGTCACTTGTGTGTAGTGGCTTTGCAGCCCACCACCCCTGCTTAGGACTAGTGAGAGGACACTGCCTTCCAGAATGAAATCTATAGGCCCTGTGGTCCTGTTAGTGTTACTGAGGTCCTGTTCTCACAACCTGTGTTTCCTCATTTGCAGAACCTGAAAGCAGGTGAAATTCCCCAGCCTGATTTTCCAGATGAGTATAATCTCGGGGACATTTTCCTAGGAGTAGAGTATATCTTCCAGCAGTGCAAAGACAGTGAAGATTATTATGACATCCTGACTGTAAGTGGGAATGCTGAAATGACAGGTTCTGTCTAGCAAAGTAAATACCGTATCCTTCACCCAGGCCATAAAGAGATTGACGATGTGCCACCTGTGTCCACGCTATTACCCACGTTATTCCCCATGTGAAGAACTGGGTCATTGAGGGAGACCCACAGAGAGGGAGATCCACAGACAGGAAGATGGCCTAGTGGGATCTGCATGCCCTGTGACAGTGCCAGGGGGCCGGGAGAGGAGAAGGAGCTTCTCCATAGCTGAGATATAGGGAAGCTCCCCATAGTGAGGTGGTTTTAGCTTTTACCTTGAGCTCAGCAGGCTGTGTAGTTAACATAGTCTTGCAGAATAAGCTTTTTAGGAAACTGCCCAAAGCGTGGACAAGATTCTAGCATCCAAGACCTTCCAGGCTTATCCTAAGTTTAATATAAAAAGCTTTCTGAAAGTATTGAGTGTGATATACACACTCAAGTCATATTTTAACTTCCCAATAGATTCAATTGAGGGATCTTCCTTTGGCCAAATAGCCTCACTGTGAAATATGTTGGGGGGGGCGGTCCTAGTGCTTCCATGTGAGACCCAGTGTGAACAGGTGTGGGGGGAGGAAGAGGAGGTTTTCCTTTCTTCCTGAGTGACAGGAACCCCAGTGTAGATAGGGCTGGTCAGCATGGTCCAGCTCTGGGATCCCTATGGCTGGCATCTGTGCATCCCTGGGAGGAGGGTGATCCAGGGGACAGTTGTGGACATCTACTTTCACTTCCCACGCCTCCTGAGGGTTCTGTACCAAAGTAGAGGGGATTGGGCTCTGCAGTCCACCACTCCTAGGACCCTCACCCCCTGCCCTTGCACAGGGCCAAGCCAGCCACTCTCCACCCTGCTGGCCCCCAGCTGCTGCATGTAGGCACCTTCTAACAGTTCCAGGTACCTTCCAACTACCCACCTATCCTCTACATCTCACCACCCCTCTGCGCCTTCCCTCTGTCCTGAAAAGCTGGTGTTTTCTCAGGAAATAACCACTGACCCTCCCCACCTTCATATTTCAGGGTGAGGCTATTTGACTAGAGATCCTGGTCTTCATACCCTTAACAGGGCCCCGGTCCACCTGCTGTTCCCCGAACCCCACCCGTGTCCTCATTGCCCATTCACACCTCCAGTGCTGCTGCCACTGACTCCTGAAGCCCTGCCTGCGCCCAGAGGAGGGTTCCTAACCTCCCACCAGGTGTGGGCTGAGCTCTCCCTGCCTTCCTCCTCCCTTGGCTCCTGGCTTGGTCATGATCAGCCCCTGAGGTGGCTTTTTAATTGTTCCAACAGGTGACTGCCACCCATGGGCTCTGTCATCTACTAGGCTTCACACATAGCACAGAGGCCACATGGCAGCAGGTAGGTGCCATCCCCGACCTGCCCAACCTGCCTCTTGCAGTTGATGAAAACCAAAATAGGAAAAAAACTGTAAAATAAAGAATTTTATAAATGCTTTATAAGAAATGCTAACAGTGTTTGTTTTAAATATTGGGCTCCCTAAATGCCGTTAACTGTATTATTATGTCAGTGTTGAAAGGAAAATCTGAGCAGAGACTGAATTCTAAAAATCCTATGAAATTCTAATGGCTTAAAGTTAAATCTTTACAGGAGAAATTGTGATGATTTTTGTCAATTGGGAACAGGATTTAAAATGTGCAGACATATTGTATAAAGTTATGGAGCAGTTGGTTTCCTCGAAGGGTGCCAGTGTTTACCCACTTGTAAATGTTCATGTAGGTATATATATACCATATTATGTTTAATAAACTCAAGCTATATTTGTAATTAAATAGATTCTCTGAAAGGCATAAAAAGCTTTTTCATTAACAAAAGTAGTCCTTGACACACTTGTCCTCTCCCCCGGCCATCCTAGGCTGGTCCACACCAGCCACACCCTGGCTCTGCCTCTGCGCCTGATCAGATGCTGACCTACTGCAGCCCCTTCGGCCCTTCCTCCTCAGCCCCCCTGCCTCTGCAACCAACAGACCTAAGTCAGCATCTGGGGGAAAGCCTGCGATGTCACCTCCAATATGCAGTCCACCAAGGACCCCAGCCCCCCCAAGCTCTGACTACCCTTCCCCCGGGAAAGGCCATCTGCACCTCCTTCTTCCCTCATGTCCTGCACCTATTCTTCTGTGACCCCAGGCTGGCTCTCCTCCTCTTTCCTACCCAAGATCACCACCTCGGCCCCAGCCCACAGCCTCTCCTGCTGTCACCATTGTTCACCCTGCAGGCAGCATTTTTGCACTCCTTGTGCACAGGTGCTGGGCTCCCATGAGCAGAACCAGGACCTGCCCTTCAACCTGTGTGGGAGGCCCCATGGCCAAGGCTCCCCATGCCATAGCCATGGATACTGGCCTCGGGGAGGGATTTCCTGGTTAGAGGGCAGAGCCAGGTACTCCCCAGGGCCTGAGGAAGCCAGCCCGCTGGGCAAGTCCACAGTTGGTTTTTGCCCCTTTGTTTCAGATGTACCAAAAGGAGAAGCAGGTTCTCGAGGAGCTGGGCCAGCGCACTGGGGCCAGGCTCCAGCCCCTGAGCAGGGACCTCTTCTGATGATCACAGCCCATGACGCAGGTAGTACCTGAGGAACCTTCCAGAACACAGGAACACCGTGTGGATGGGAGTCGACCCCTCCCTTTGGGCCCTGAGGATCAGAGGCTTCACCAAACTGAGGGCCCTGCTGGTCAGTGCCCAAGCTGGGCCTAAATTCCATGAATGGAACTGACCATTTCTTAAAGTACAAGAGGAATTTCCATTCATGTGTTTACTTAGAACACAGCAAACATGTTATTTTCAGTATTATAAATAAAACAGTTCTAAACTCTGAGAGCATCTAACCTCCTCCTCCCTGGTGTTCTGCCTTTGGTAATGAGGGCTTTCTCACACCTCTGCTTCCACTCAGGAGGATAAAACAAGTGGCCTGGGGGCATATGTGTGGGAGCAGATGGTGGAGGGGACAGGCACTGAGCCAGCCAGGGCCTCCATCACCTGAACCTGTCAACACAAGGAGCTCCAAAGAGGTAGCGGCAGTGACACAGCCTCTCAGATATTTTTTGGCTCTAAAACCCAGAATGCTACAGTTCTGGGAATTTGGTGTCCCCTGTGAGTCTGTTTTAGAAACATGAGAACACATTTCCCACTGGATTTGTGTCCTGTCTCAGTCTGCATTTCCCCCAGCTCTCAGGGTAGGGACTTGAGCCGGTTGATATTCCTGAGTCGCTGGTGGCTACATGTGACCTGCTTGTAGTCACAAAGCTCTTGGTTCTGAAATCCTTCTTAAGAGACTAAGGGAGTCCTGAGACCTGCTGGTCTTGTCACTTCATGTGCCCTCAGTGATCACCAGGTGCCCCCACGAGGCTTTCCACATGACTCCCACGTGACTACCCCCCCCCATGATTTCCCCTATGCAGGAGGTGCAATGAACTGAGTTTTTCCAATTTACCAGGCTTTCAAATGACAGTCAACTTGTCCAATTTCTTCCCTCTATTAATAATGCTGAGAAATAAAACGGAAGCCATGTTAGAAAAAATTAAGGTGAAAATAGGAAATATGGCTAGACCTTTCATTGATGCATTTAACAAGAGACTGGGCTGTGAAACAGGCCGGCCCTGACATCAGCCCAGAGGGAACCTGCGTGCAGCAAAGCGGACATCGTGCTGCCTCTGACATCTTCCTGCAGAACCCAAGGATGCAAAGACAGTGTTCTTGCTTGTGAGGAACTTAGGGAACCTGATAAGGTACCCCCGAATGGGCCATGAAAACATGCCTACTACTAAAAAATGACGTTCACATGAAAACAATATTAAAAAGCAGAGCCTAATCCCACCAAGGGAAGAAAATTTTAAAAAGTACAGAAAGAGTGAAGGTAACAATTCATCAGGTGAGAAACCCAACAGAGCCAGAAAAGCCTTGGTCCCCGGACCCCTCTTCAGAAGGAGCCATGTGCAGCTCCTCGGGTTTCACTCGCAGGAGAAAGGCCAGGCTAGCAGATGGATCTGCCCAATACAAGTGCTTCCTCCCAGGACAGCACATCACAGTCTGCAGCGGCTGCTTTCCATCCTCACCTCAGCCGCCGTGGGGCAAACATCTCCAAGTATCATTAGGTTTAACTGTGGTATTTTTCTCATAGGAAGGTTTATATTTTCGTGTGGCTAAATCTATGATCTTCTCTTGGCTGCTGGGCATCTTTTCTGACAAAACCCCTGTATTTCCTTGTGATCCTCAGAGTCTGGTGCCCAGGGACCGCTGCTGGGCGTTAGCCTGGTTTTTCCAACCGTGCCCGAGGAGGACGGGGATGGGGGCTCACTGGCCTGGAGCTGGAGCTGGTGCAGGGAGGAAACCTTCAGGCACAGTCCTAGAGGAAAGGCAAGAGTCTGGGTGTTGTTACTGCCCCGTAGGGCTCGCAGACTCCAAAGGGCGGGTGAGTTCTACTCTGGGGTTTGGTTGGGGGCCCTCACAGCCGTGCTTGGGCTGGACACACCCAGGGTCATCTGTGCTGGACAAATGACCCAAGCTGCAGACGTTTCCCCAGGAGGTTGCCGTGGAGTCCACACTCAGCTGGGGTGATGCACAGGTGGGGGATGAGGCTGCCATGGTCCCACCTGTGTCCCTCTGGGAGATAGCAGCGCCTTTCCAGGCTCCTTTCCCAATTCCCTGCTGCAGCCTAGGGACCTGACAAAGACCTATGTCCAATGGCTTCTCAGTAGGAGTAGGAAAGGGCAAAGGGGCCCTGGCATCCTTACGCGCTAAGGGCAGCAGCAGAGGGGGTGACCAAGTGGCGCATGGTGGGCAGGAAGCTGGCGGCAGATGGGAGGGCGGTGGCTGAGACCACTGCAGGCCACGTGGAGTAAGCCATGGGTGAGCCAGGCGCGGGAACAGCCTGCAGCGGGGCTGTGGGCGCATAGTGGTGGTGGTGGTGCACGGAGGGCGGTTTCTGCCTCTCAGCTCGCAGGACGGTGGGGTGAGCCCGTTGTGGGTCCTCAGCACAGCACAAACACCAGCCCATTTCAGCTGGGAGTGGCTGCTCCAGGCACCCCTCTCCCCCACCCCTATCCCTTCTCCTGTTCCTGACTTGGGGTGGGCTCAGATTCCAGGAAGGGCAGGGAGGGGAGGAGAAGGGAGGGAAGGTGGGGAAGAACTCATCCAGCTCAAGGAGGAAGCTTCTGGGCCTCAAACTACACAACCCATTCCTCATCCAAGGGGACAGGAGAACTGGAGGATTTCACAGCTGGATCACAGGCCCTCAGAGCCAAAAATGTGCTTTTCAGAGTTACACTGATGCACAATTTCCAGAAGAGAAGCTGCCCAGGTCCTCTGGTGTTGATTTGGGTGGCCTCCTTTGCCTGGTGTCTGCTCCAGGCTGAGCCTACCTGCCGGGTGGGTTGCAGGGGTGTGGCCTGTGGTCCCCTGGAGGACACGGGGGCCGTCGGGGGCACAGCTTGGAGCATCAGGTTCTGCATGATCACCTGGTGCATCTGTGCATTCTGCAGCAGCATCATCTCCACCATGTCTGAAAAGACGGGAGGAGTGCTTGGTCATACACAGAGGGCTCACCCCATTAGGGGGTCTCACCTGAGAACAGAGCTTTAGAGCAGCCTGTTTGTTGAAACAGACGTAGCATATTACAGATGTCTGTTCCTCCTGAGGGGGGGTGTCACATTCCCAGACATGTAACTTCAAGAGCAGAGGGTGTGTGTGCTATGAAGTGTGTGGACGGTGTCCAGTTGGGCTTCCAGGAGGTGGCTCCACTTGCCTTCCTGCTAGTAGATTCCTCGAGCTCACCTGGGCTGTATGATGGCCCCAGAAATGTGTGTCCACGTCCTACCCCAAGAATGTGGCCTTATTTGGAAAAAGGGTCTTTGCAGATATAATGAAGGCCTTGAAAGTGAGATCACCGTGGCTTATCCAGGTGGGCCCTGAGTCCAAGCACAAGTGTTTTTATAAGAGATAGGCCGAGAGAGATGGAGACCAAAGGGGAGACAAAAACAAACAGACTAGCAATTTGGCTACAGCCCAGGACTCCTGGAGCCACTGCTGGAAGAGGCAAGAAGGACCCTCCCTGGAGGGAGTGTGGCCCTGTGACACCTAGATTTTGGACTCTGGCCTCCAGACTGGGACAGAGTGGGTTTCTGTGGTTTTAGGCCACGTGGCTTGTGGTGCTTTGTTATGGCAGCTCCAGGATATATTCACCAACTTTGGATGCTATAAAACGTATAAATTTTGGCAGTGTGAGAGGTAAATGAGTTCTTACCACAGCAACTAGGTCCTGGAAATTAAGCATTACCTCCAGGCTCTGTCAGCCTCACCAAAGGCAGGCAGGTCCCCTAGGACCATTCATATTCCCAGGCAAACGAACAGGAGCCTGGAGACCCAGAGGCAGGGGCCCCCAACAGAACACAGGACACCAACCAACAGCCTCTGCAATCACACTGCAACTCTTCCCTGGGTGCCCAGTGGGCCGGCCCGCCCTGCAGATTTTGGACTAACCAGGGCTCCATAATCACACAGGCCAATTCCTTAAAACACACCTTTCTCTCTGTATTCACAACCTATTGGTTCTGCTTCTCTGGAGAGCCCTAATAGATTTTGCCACAGAGTTGGGGCACTATGGGAGGTGGGGGCCCAGAGCCAGATTCCTGCAGCAGCACAGCTGTACAGCTGTGGGAGCTCTGACCCTGCAAGATAAGCAGTTGGAGAGGCTGAGTCTGGCAGCCCCATCTGGGAAAGGCCCTTGAGGACACTCTTGGGTGCCTGGTTCAGGGCAGCCCCCACTTACCAGGAGTAGCGGGAGCCCTCTGAGGGGACACTTCCCCAGTCAGGCTTGTAGCACTCCCACTGATAGAGTCAGGAGTGAAAAGATTAGATTAGGCAACAGGGCACAGAAATGGACACATCCTGTTTGCTAAAGAGATGCTTCATGCCCGGCCGGGCGTGGCTCAGCGGTTGAGCGTTGACCTGGGATCCAGGCAATCAAGGTTCGATTCCCGGTAAGGGCACATGCCCAGGTTGTGGGCTCGATCAATGACTCTCTCATCATTGATGTTTCTATCTCTCTCTCTCCCTCTCCTTTCCTCTCTCTGAAATCAATAAAGATATATTAAAAAAAAAAAAAAGAGAGAGATGCTTCATGACAGAGGGACACGGTGCAATGGGAGAGTCTTCAGTAAATGGCACAGGGTCAAACATGTCCATTGGCCAGGGCTGAGTGCATTCTTTTGGGGGTTGGGTGTGTAAAGGTGTGGTAAATTCAGTGTTTTCTGTATGAAATTATACTAGTGTGTATTTCTGTGAAGTTTTCGTAACAGGTAGAACTACGAAGGAGAACAATGGGTAAGTCAGAAGATGAAGAGGCTGCTACCGTGTTCCAGGTTCCCTTTGTTATAGGGGGAGCCAGTGGCTCAAGACTGTGTTTAACTTTATATTGAATAGCCCAACAGTTCTCCAAAGTGGTGGTTATACTACTTTTGAAATTTAATCTTTTTATATTCAAATATTTGATCCAGTTGGAATTCATTTTGTATAAAGAATGGGGTAAGGAATTTGGCTTTACTTTTTCTAAATTGCTAGCTATGTATTGAATATTTCTTCTTTTAAGAATTCATTTTTTTAGTTTTATTTTTTTATTTTTTAAAAATATATCTTTATTGATTTCAGAGAGAGAAAGGGAGAGGGAGAGAGTTGAAACATCAATAATGAGAGAGTTATCACTGATCGGCTGCCTCCTGCACACCCCCAACTGGGGATTGAGCTCACAACCTAGGCATGTGCCCTGACTAGGAATCTAACCACAATCTCCTGGATCCTAGGTCGATGCTCACTCACTGAGCCATGCCCGGCTGGGCAAATATTTCATTTTTTAATCACTGATTTGAAATGCCGCTTTTTCTCTTTTAAGGCATACAAGCATTTGTACACACATATGAGCACACACACAGTTTGCTCAGTTTGCTTCTGGAACCCAACAGCCTATCAAAGTTCATTTGGAAAAACCAACTAGGAGTAGTGAGAAAAGGCCAGGCCCTCTACACCTCCAACGCAGCTCTGTGCACACGGTGTGAATGGCTTCCCTGGGAGAGCTGCATGGCAGCCTTGGCCCCATGGCCGGGCACATATTACAAAGACTATGCACTACAGTAATTAAACAAGTTGGTTTTAGCCACTGGGACAGAATTGAAAATACTGGTCAGATGATCCTATATACAGGTCTGTCTGCCCCTAGGCTGCCGACACCATCAGTCACTAGGGAAATGCAAATTAAAATGACAGGGAACTACCACTACCCATATTAAAATGGCTGAGCCTAAAAAGCCTGACGTGCCATGAGAGGATGGGGAGGAACCGGCCCCTCAGACACGGCTGGTGGAGATGTAAAAATGTACAGACACTATGGAAACAGTTGGGCAGTCTTTTGAAAAAAACACACCTGCCACATGATTCAGGCATTCCAGTCCTAGATACTAAAGAGACGTGGAAACACGCTCACAGGAGACTCGAACATGAATGTCCACGACTCACAGCCCAAATGTCCATCAGCAGGGGAAAGGATAAGATGTGCGAGAGACTAGTGCAGCCATGCTTAAAACAATTATGCTGAGTGAAAGGAACCAGACAAAACAGTGCGTCCTCTATGGTTCTGTGGACGTAAAACTCTAGAAAATGCAGATTTACACAGTGACAGAAGTTGATCAGCAATTGCCTGTGGGGCTGGAAAGAGGGAGTGAGAAGGGATATAAGGAAGCTTTTGGATGGTGGGTGTGTTCACTGTCTTGGGCTTGTGGCTGTATCCATATGTCAAAACTTATCAAATTGGACACTTTAAATATGTGCCAGTTATTCTGTCATCTCAATAAAGCTGTTTTAAAAATCAACTATTTAAAAGTTATTTGAAAAGAAGAAGCAGCCCTAGCTGGTTTGCTCAGTGGTTAGAGTGTCAGCCTGCAGACTGAAGGGTCCTGCATTTGATTCTGGCCAAGGGCATGTACCTCGGTTGCAGGCTTGATCCAGGCCTTGGCTGGGGTGCGTGTGGGAAGCAACCAATCGATGTGTCTCTCTCACATCAGTGTTTCTCTCTCTCTCTCTCTCTGTCCCTTCCACTCTCTCTGAAAAGCAATGAAAAAAATATCCTCAAGTGAGGATTAAAAATAAATAAATAATAAATAAATAGAAGAAGCAATTTAACCAAGGTTTTTGTACAGCTAATAATTGGATGAGTTGGAATTGGAGCCCAGTATTCTTTCAATACCTAGTCCAGTGCTCCTTCTCTTACCTCTTTTCTTCCCTCGGTGAGATCCGTCATGGAAGCATTTCTCAAAGTTTCATGTTGGTAACAGGTAGCTTCAGTTGAGTAGCCAGAAGCTGACCCTAAATGACTATCCTGCTTACAAAATATTTTTCCTTTCAGTAGAGAATTTCATAAGCCCATAACAATATTAATATCAAACACTTACCTTCCTTAATACTTCCTGACCTTTGAGCTGGGAAGGCCTGGGGAGGGGGAATCTGGGCGATGAGTGGCTGTTGAGGTAGCTGCTGAATGATGGTAGCAGGAGGCTGGGGGACCTAGGAAGAGCCAGGTGACTAGCTACCTGAATGTGTCCTTGGAGAGAATGTTCTATAGCACCCGCTTATCCACACACCCACCCACACATCTTTCCACCCAGCAAACCACCCACCCATCCATCCATACATCCATTCACCTATCCACTCACCCACCCACCCAGTCACCTACCCTTTCATCCACCCATCCATCCACTTACCTACTCACCTACCCACCCACTCATGCATCTACCTAGTTATCCAACCATCCCTCAACCTGTCCATCTATTTATCTATCTATTCATTCATCCAAGAGGAACTTTAATGATTAACCCTAGAGGTTGAATTGATGGCTGAACAAATATGTGAGTCTGGGCATTACTTAGGACATGGTATGTTATGGACTGAATGTTTGTGTACACCCTCCCCCAGCAATTCATATGTTGCAATCCTCACCTCCAGTGTGACTGTATTTGGAGACAGCCTGTGAAGAGGTGACAAAGGTTAAATGAGGTCATAAGGGTGGGGCCCTGATCCCAATAGAACCAGTGCCCTTATAAGAAGAAACACCAGAAATCTCTGTGTGTCATGTGAGGACAGCGAGATATGGCCATCTGCAAGCCAAAAAGAGAGCCCTCTCTAGGAACCAGATTGTCCAGGACCTTGATCTTGGACTTCTAGCCTCCAGCACTGAGAGATACATTTCTGTTGTTTAAGCCCCTCATCTGTGGTACTTTGTTATAGCAGTCCCAGCTAATACATGGTATTTTTAATGTTTTCCACATTTCCTGGCTTGAGCAGGCTAAGCTAATCCCTGGTTTCATTAGTTCTGCTTTAATAGAGGCACCCAGGAAGCATGTCATGAAAATAACCTCTGGCTTCTCTCCTGAGTTAAAATAAATGTACAGGCCCTGCCCAGGTAGCTCAGTCAGAGCGTTAACCAATACACCAAAGTTGTGGGTTCAATCTCCAGTCAGGGCACATACAAGAGTCAAACCAATGAACGTATAATTAAGTGAAACAACAAATCTCTCCTCCCCCCACCCTGTTCCTGTCTCTCTCCAAAAATCAATCAATAAAAAATGTTTAAAAATAAAATAAAGGTACAACAATTTTGAGCATGTGCTGGGCATTGATTGTGCACCAGAAAGACTTTCTATTTTAATCTTTTGTGGATGTGCAAGGCCCTGACCCTGTTGCTTCTTTCTCAGTTCACAGAAGGCATGGTATAGGGCACAGGTGGCAAACTTCTTCTGTGAACATCTCGGCTCTGTGGGCCAACTATTCAGCACAGACACTAAACTAATGAGGCTGGTCCAGTGAGACTATTTATGTACACTGAGGTTTGCATTTCATATTGTTTTCATGTGTTCAAAACTATTCTTCTTTTGATTCCCCCCCCAGACATTTAAAAGTGCGAAAGCATTCTTAGCTTGCAGGTTGTACAAACACAGACAGCAGGCCAGCTTTAGCCACAGCCACAGTTGCCACCCCTGGCATCAACCAACAGTGCTCTCTTGGAGCACTGTGCCTGTCCTGGCTGAGGGACCTCCTACCTCAGGCTCTCTGAGTTCAGCTTCTAGAAATTTAGTGACCTACTTGCCCTCTTGGTGTCACTGGGGCTGAAACTGAAACACCGAAGGATGGCCAGGCCCTGGTCAAGTGCAGGAAGTGTGAACATGTTTGGGACTGGGAGGGGCTACTGCGCTTATACCCCCACCCTCCCTACCACCTGGATGCAGATAGCCCAGGGGCAAAGGGGACTCTGGGGTCTCCATGAGCATGGATCCCTCTGAGGCACCCTTTCCCACTCCATTCCCTCTACCATGTGCTGCCAGGCTCCTCTGTCAAAGAGCAAGTGCCCTCCAGGTCCTGACTCAGCCAGCCAGCACCATCAAGCTCCCTGGCTAGCCACTGCAGAACCTTCTCAGCTAGGCCTGCCACCTCTTCAGCCATCTCTTCTGCCCAGTCACACCGATCTTCTCCCGAGGCCTCGGCATGACAGATCCTAGCTTCTGTTCCTCCTCTGAACATCCAGCTGGCCTCTGATACAATCCCTTTCGCTTAAGAAAGTGAGAGCTGCTTTCCACTGTTTGCGACCCAGAATTCTGAGTCTCTCAACATTGGAACACTTTTCCCTTTTTCATTCTGCTCTTGCTTCTCCTGGTCATTATGAAGTTTTGAAAAAGAGTGAACACACCTCTTCCCTAAATTCAGGGTCCTCCTGATGCTGACTTTCCCTAATACTTCTAGAGCAAAAGTTAGGACATGGGGCTGGGACCCCAGCCTCTCATCTGTCTTAGGGCACCTTTGAAGATGACTGAGATGAGGCACTGATGTCCTGAGTGCCTGGGTGTGGTAAGTGCACCACCGTTGGCTCTTAGCCAAACGACCGTCTTCAGGGCGCTCTCAGTCCTGCTGAGCTTGCCCAAGATGGGAGGTCTCTGCCGGCACAGAGCCTTCCCACAGTGGTTCTGCCCTGGGGTTCACTGGGAGGAAGACCTACCGAGTGTTGGATCACCCGAGGCAGCTCCAGGGCAGGTGGGGGCACGGAGGCGGTGGGGTAGATGCCAGGGCCCACCTCTGGGGGCAGCGCTGACCCATAGGCTCCTCGGCTGGGCCCCCTCCAGGCTGGGGCATGGGCTCTGGAGAGCTCTTCCAGGAGGTATTGTTCCTGCAACGCCAACCAGAGACTGCTGCACCAAGGGGCAGCCACCGAGCCTGGTGGGGGAGATGTGTCCTGGGCTCTCTTACGATGGGTGGCCCATGTGGGACACCTCGGGTTTCCCTAGCTTCCTTGCAGGGCTTCCCTAGAACTGGAGCCAGGCCTGAAAGCAAGGCCCAAGGGCCCTTTAAGGAGATTCACTTGAGAATACAGCTGCTTTTAAAATTTACCAAATCATGTGAACTAGTGTCTGGTACCGGCTGCCTCAGCATCCCCTTTGCTACAAGTGCTACGTTGATCATAACTATTTGTGTGGACTTTGAGTGCTCCTTCCTGCTGCTGGTGGACAGAGTTGGGACCAGGCCTCTGGGCTTCTTGGAATTCCACTTCCTGTGGGATTTGACCCTTTACTCAGCATTTCCACCTTGGGTAATGTGCCACCAGAGTAGGTGTCCTAGCTAATCACATGCTTGTTAGAGCCCAGACCACAGACAGTGCAAGTTCCTTTCTCCATTTAGTCCATTCCATGCCACAGGCGGGATGTCGCATAGCTGCTTGAAGTTCGCCAGCTACCCGTCTACGAGTCACAAACCTCAGAGAACTGGCGTTGAGTCCAGAAAAACATGACACCCCCACGGCCGCCCCTCCCCACTCCCACCCTCCAGCCC